TTCGAAATAAGAAAATAAGAAACACTGATATTAGGAAGAAAACCAAAATAAAAGATGCTCTTCAGCATAGTATGAAACAGAAGTGGAGATGGGCAGGTCATATAGTGAGGTACAAAGATAAAAGGTGGACTCTCCAAACAACAAAATGGCGAGGTCCAGCAGGAAAAAGAAATATTGGAAGACAAAGAAAGAGATGGGCAGATGACATAATAAAGATAGCAGGAAAGAACTGGACGGGTATTGCTATAGATAAGGAGAAGTGGAAAAAGATGGAGGAGGCTTTTACCCTTGGGGACCACGGAAGTGGATAAAAAGCTATAATAATAATAATAATAATTAAGTCTTCGAATCAATTTTTTTTTTAAATATCTCTGGTTCATCTTTATTAAAATGGTAAGATAAGATATTGGAACAGTACATTGTTCTTAATAGAAGTATTTTATACCGACTATTGACATGTTACGTACTTCTCAAGTGAATAATGATTCAATGGTGGTTTGAGTCACGTGATTTGAACATAATCTTATGATACACGTCAATTTTGAATCTTAAACCGTAGACAATAAGGGCGATACCAATGTTAATGTTTTTTCTATCATCATGATTTTGTCGGTGAGTCATGTAAACATTAATTAACCTGAGCGTCGCCTACGTGGTTAGTTAGACTAACTATTCCTGCGACTTCGTGCGTGTGTATATATATATATATATATATATATATATATATATATATATATATATATATATATATATATATATATATATATTGGTTCCATTTTTTCATCTTCCAAAGTGTCCCTGACTTCCGAACCTTGATCCCATATTAATTTTATCACTATAAAAACGGCGTTTTCTTTCAGAAGCAAAATCTTGTTTTAACTGATGGCAAATATAAGGATATAGGTAGATACAATTCTGTTATCACTGCCGTTGTCTAATGAGGCAAGAAGCAAGAAATGTTTATAAAATCGTTAAGTTTATATTAAGAAGAAGAAATTAAGTTAATTTTAGTTAATAAGCTTACATTTATATAGGTAAACATAATACAATAACATCGTATTATTTTACCTAAAGGGCTGACATATTCATATAAGAATAAACTCCCTTTAATTAAAAAAAATCTTGTTTGGTCGAGTCATTGCGCGTTCTAATTTCAAATCTTTTGGATATAAAACAAATACCTAATCCATTGGTGCGGGGGGAAAGAGATTGTTAGCAATGGAGTTCGACATTGCTAGCAATATGGCCTATCAGGTCGACCTCCACGTGGTTCCCCCTGGAAACCATCGTGAACAATTTTTGTTGAATTCGTCACGAGGGGCTAACTGACCTGCTTCATACTCACCTCATCATCCTTCACTGGTGCCCCGCTGGTGTATACCAATAGCGCGGGTGGGGTTACCATGCCATTATCACACATTAAAAAAAATCCATTGGTGCGTTTCATCGTTTTTAAATAGCTAGGATACCTAGCAAATCTATATTAATTTCGTCATGACAAAATGTCGGCCATTTTGCTGTGTAGATAAATCTTGCATTTACATACATATATAAAACCATACAACTTTCCTACAGTTTGTTTGATCTCGAATCTATCTGGATTCGAGACTGATTTATCTCTTAGCTGTCCGAGTCTGACAAATGCAGGTATACACACAATGCAAGCTGAATCATCCCTATAGAAACACTCCGTGATTCACAAAGGTGAATAACACTGTATGTATTATGATCGATATTATTGTGCAAATAAGGAAATCTAACGTACCGTCCGCACATGGACGTTGGCGAGTCTGTCATAGACTAATTATTAGATATTTATTAATATTTTTGACTAACTACTTTGTACGTAATATGTAAATAGGGAGGTCTAGGATATGGCCTGGGAGAGCCGGCTGGAAGAAGCTGCATGAATTAGTTGCACCGACAAGAGGAAAATCTTAAATGAAAAAAAGACTTTGTACGCGTGGACTGCAGAAGTAGAAAATCAATGTAATAGACCAATTTTAGATGACGTATCAGGAAAAAAGATATGCCAGATTTAAAATTAGACCTTCAGGAACACGACTGTGAAATTCGCATTCAATTTGGCGTAGTACTTTTTTTTATACAACTTAAAATGGCAAACAAGCTGACGGCCCACCTGATGGAAAGTGGTAACCGTCGCCTATAGACATGAGCAGTACAATGGATATAACAGAGTAGACTGTTTCGCCCATGATACCCTCCCCCCCATGCGTTGCCATTCCTGAGGACTCAGGTGTTATTCCTCTGTACTCAGTAAATTCACGCCATATCCCACCCTTCAAACCGAAACACAGCTATGCAAACACAACTGCTTCACAGTTGAAACACGAATGGGACAGAGGTACCAAAGCAATCGACTTTTGTACAAAGTCTCCCTCTGCTTATTGCGCGATGCCCGAGTTAATATACAGAGAGATAGACAAAATTTCTAAAAATTATTGTATTGGCATCTATTGGTCAAAGTCACTCATTTTTTTTTTTAAATACCTCCTATTTACAAATATCCTCTAGTTTCAACTTTATTACATTAGTAAAATATTTAATAACAACGTTCATTAGGTATGTTTAGCTTTTAGGTATAAATAAAATAATTTTCTCGTATTTCTCAGTTTGCCCAATGGTTGACTGGTAGAGAACACCGTCCGGTATTAAGTCAACTAAATGTACGTAGAATTTTACTGTGCATTAAAGTTTAAATAAATAAATAAAAATTCTAGTGCGAGGCGGAATAAATCGAAGTAGGTATATATCCGTAGGTATAGTCCGTTTTATTAGGTATATTAATATATAAAATGTTAAGATGTTCGTTGACGCTAATCTCGGTAAACGTTCAACCGATTTAAATGGAATTTTGTAAATTTGAAAGATAGGTTAGTATTTATCGTGATAGAAAATTGTGCACCCAGTAGATGGTAAAGCAACGTTTGGCGAGATAGCTAGTGTACGTATATAGAATTAGTAGTAGGTATTTGGGACTTTTTTGAATTGCAAAATTCTGTGATAGGCAAAAGCACCACTTTATAATATGATTATGAACATATGCTAGCTATATTCCAAAGCTTTGTCGGTGTGGTTGAGGAAGTATGTAAAGTATGGAGAATGAGAATCTCATTGCTAGCAATATACCCAACCAGGTCGACCTCCTCGCGGTTCTCCGTGGAAACTATCGTGGTTAATTCCTGATGAATTCATCGTGATGGGCTAACTGACCTGTTTTCATTCTCATCTATCACCCTTCACTGGTGCTCGCCAGCGTATCCCGTTAGCGCAGGCGGGGTTACCATACCATTTTCACCCATAAAAAAAAAGTATGTAAAGCAAAAGATAACGGGTGGGGGGAGGGGGGCAAATATATAATTCGCAACGAGAACTAACGACCCCATTGCTAGCAATGTTGAGTACGTTCGTTCATGGGATTTTACGCGTTTCTAGGTACTCTGGTAAGTATGTAGGTATTCTGTAGTGTCACGAAACTATTTGTATAGAATAAAAAAAAATTACAAATTTTTATTTGTTCTTCCCTAGTTTTATAAAAAAATAATAATAGGAATAGACTCCATTTAGCACGCATTAAAGGCAATACTTATAGAAATATGAAGGCAGATAATCATAGACTTCGACGAAACTTAATTTCAAAATAAACAAAATAAAAACGGAGAAAGAATATATTCCGATAATTATATTTTTCATGTAATAAAAATTTAAATTTAGCTATTTATTGTACGCATTTTTATTTCGAAAAAAAGACATATAAGATTATTTACTAATTATGATAAATATAGAAAAAGAAAATATTATCCCTACATATGTTATTAGATACGTTAATTGATTGATGTACTATTATTTATGAAAATAATTTAATAAAAAAAAAACAGACTGATTTTGGAGTGGCCGAAAAATGGCACATTTACCCTATTTACGTACGTAACTATCTTGACAGATCGTGAATTTTTACGTTACGAATTTTGAATGCTGCAATTTTCGACCATTAAAACTAGAAAGACGGTAGAATTGAAAATTATACTGCGATCTCTGAATAATCGTTACTTCATTAAACTGATTCACATACCTACAAATTTATAACTAAAATTGAATTGCGGCCGGTACAGCTCCGAGTATGACTAAGCGGTAGGATGTTAGGTGTAGTCATCGGTGATAAGTAGGCAATCATATTTACATGGTAATTATTGATAAATACCTTGTAACGTGTCAAAGTTTTACTAAAAACTATATGTATTATAAAGCTACAAGTATATTCTAGATCAGTATTGATAGCTATATGACATTATGAGTACAGGTGGCAGGCAAGTTTATCGAACTAAAGTAGCTACGTGACCTTGACACTGGGATGGTCAACGTCTGAATACCAATAGACATAAAGGGGGCGCACCCAAAAAGTAGCGCCTATATTTACCCCGAAATAGACTCAAATGTGTGACAGTCATTCGCTACGACAGCTATACCATATATGGTCAAACATAAATGCGATTGCGCGGCGTTGCATTGCCACCAAGTTCGATGCCCCCCGTGTCGGCCGACAGCATAGGATAACTAAAAACCAATGGGCCACGTACCAAAATGCGGACAAAACCCACGTCGCGGTAAATAAGGGCGATATGACAGCGGGACTAGTCAAAAAAGGTGGTGCCAGCCAGAATAACTTGGACAGTGAAATTCAACACCGTTATACACACCCTTCGAATTATGAACATTCACTTGTCACATCAACTGAAAAAACCGTACAGCTAGTAGTAACGTTGAAAACACAACACGTGGCATAAAATCACTGAACGGTGACAACTATTTTTAATAAAAGGCGTGCGAACTCAGTGGAGGGTTGTGCGGAATATGGCGGCACCGGTCCCAATAAGATTAAATACGTTGCAATTGCGGCGTCCAGAAACATATTTTAACACTCCCGTAATAGGAAAACACGACACGGACGTGAAACACTGCAATTTATATTCTTCACTTACCATTTTTTGATGTTATTACACGTAAAAATTCCACCACTAACTTCACCGACACACGACAGTGGCGACCGGAACGAAACTGTTTGGAATGTTGGCTACGCGTATTTGACAGCGGCCTATGAGAGCAAGTGTCAAAATGTATGGTGAATCAATACAGCTTCTTATTAAATAATAATGTCATATTAAACTTGTATTAATCGTAATTTATTAACACTGCTATAATATTAAATGTTAAATTGAAAAATAAATTACTATATGTAATGTTAGTAGTAACTAATGATAATTAATTATTATTAAAATGACAGAACTTCGCAAACTGTTTCCAAGTAGAATACAAGACTGACAACCCAATAAACTATACAAGAGCAGCTTCGTTGCATTACGCAGTAAAACTAGATTGAAATTGTGTTACGTATTATGTTTTTAAAAGCCATTTTGCTCTTAAGCGAGATAAGATAAAAGAATACCACTGCCATTTATGGCGAAAAAGATAAAACTAGTTTTGATAGGACTACCAGAAAAAGACTTTGCTAATGATGGTTAGATTGACCAATCATACTTCTGTATATAATAAATGTCCATATACGGAGAGACTATATAGATTGAAAATCGCTAGTAATCTTTTAAATTATCCCGCGTTTGAGGAACTTTGATGAGGAAAAATATAAATGCAATTTTTTGCCTTCATAAAGAAATACAGTAGAAAATATGACTCACCTACTGTCACTGCTATTGACGTTACAATGACCAATCACGCTTCTGTATTCAATAAATGCCCATATACGGACGGATCGGCGAGATTGCACTGAAAATCGCTAATTCCTCGATATGCTTTTATGTTAGCTCGCTTTTGATAGGATTATACATTAATTAGGTATTTTTCAAGTATTACTACATATTGTGACTAAGTGATAATTGAAAATAATTATTGTTAACTGTTATTTAAAATTTCATTAGAATTATGCGTTGGCGTTCATAGGCTCCGCCAACGGGTTACCATCAGGCGGACCGTATGTTTGCCTTTATACGAGGAGCTCATACTTACTATTAAAACAGCTGTATTTTTTATTACGAAGAACCAAAAAGAAATCTATACTTACTTTATAATTGTTTGTTCATAAAAATTTTTTCCTTTTTATTGGTATTCTCATATTAATATATACTTCCGGTTTAAAATGGTGACTTTGGGTGATTCATACCAGGATTCGACACAATTGTGTTTATTCATTCACATACTTTTGTACATTCATTTTTAATGTAGATATCAGGTTATAACCACAGAGCATGTAATCAATACTTTATAGGTATAACAAAATGTATGCAGGCAGACTTATACCTTGAAGCGATTTTTTTAATCTGTTTATGGAAATACGTTAAAAACAATGCACATTTTTTATATAACAAAAGAAAAATCCTCGTGAAATGCTAAAGAAGGATAGAGAGACTTTGTACAAAAGTCGTTTGCTTGGGCACCTCTGTCCCATTCGTGTTTTTATCGCAAAGCAGTTGTGTTTGTATGGCTGTTTCGGTTTGAAGGTGAATGAATTTACAGGGTTCAGAGGAATAACATCCGAGTCCTCAGAAATTGAAACACATAGGGGTTATCATGAGCGAAACAGTACGCTGTTACGTCCACGGTACTGCTCATGTCTATAGGCGACGGTTACCACTTTCCATCAGGTGGGCCGGCAGCTTGTTTGCTATTCTAAGTTGTATAAAAAAAAAATAGAGGAGTAGGTTAAGGAAAAATTCGATGATAAATAGTGGTATTTTTTTATAGGTGAAAATGGTATGGTAGCCCCGCCCGCGCTAACGGGATACGCTGGCGGAGCACCAGTGAAGGGTGATAGATGAGAATGAAAACAGGCCAGTTAGCCCATCATAATGAATTCATCAGGAATTAACCATGATAGTTTCCAGGGGGAACCGCGTGGAGGTCGACCTGGTTGGGTATATTGCTAGCAATGGGATTTTTAGTCTCCATTACTAATAATCCCTTCCCCCCGATAAATAGTGAATTAATAAAATCATTGTAAGTAATATATATCAATTAAGCATTGCCAACATATTTATTATATCTTTTGTACATAGTATAAAGGTTGGTCATGGTCATCTGTCCGGCGTGTCCGGCCAGAGCCCGCCTCAGGAACGCTACAGAGTAATTAGTGTCGGACACTTGTATTAGTAATGACACAGTATTTTCTAGATGTTGCCTTAACAGACGTGGCGGCACGGTATTTTCTATTGTTGAACAGATATCGGCGACCGTGTACGCGGCTATCCGGGACACGTGGACTTTCCGCCTGCTGATGGATTGCGTCAATCTGGAATATAAAAAATGATATAGATATATATATATATATATATATATATATATATATATATATATATATATATATATATCAATACTAGCTGACCCCGTAAACGTTGTTTTACCACTTATTGCAAAATATAAAAATCACAATTAAAATACAAGGGGTTGATCGTAAAATGATGAAAATTTAAAGTTGTATGTATTTTTCAATGCTAAATTATAATAAAAAAAAAATAAAAAAAATTGTCAAAAAAATAAAAAAAAATATTCTGGCCCCTTATCATTGAGGGGTATGAAAAATACATGTTGGCCGATTCTCAGACCTACCGAATACGCACATAAAATTTCATGAAAATCGGTAAAGTCGTTTCGGAGGAGTTTGGTAACAAACACCGTGACACGAGAATTTTATATATTAGAAGATATATAGTAAAATCGTAACTGCTCACTGTCTGTAAATGGAAAATATATTATAAGGGAGCTTTATGAACGCAATAAAACCCAAAACAATCATTTTTAGAATTTTTGTCTTTTTATCCGTACGTTTGTGCACGCTAATCTCAGAAATGGCTTAACCGATTTCAATACGGGTTTCACTAATACGTTGCAGTTTGCTTCACTTAACATTTAGTGTTTATTTCATTTCAATCGGTTCATAAATAAAAAAGTTATATGCATCTAAAGAATCACATATAAAATGCTATAAAATAACCGATCAGTTGAATTGGCTGAAACTTTATGAAGGTATTAGGTACGTAATTATCATTTAAATATATAATACAATATAAGACCGAACTTATGAAGAGTTCCAATAGGAATGATATACGAAAACTACATAGTTGAAGGCAGGCAACGCCGCGGGATACGGCTAGTCACTAATATATCCCAGCTTTCAATCTGAAATAGCTATGTAAGTACAACTGCTTGTACAGAAACATGTGTGGGACAGAGGTACCCATGCAGATTATTAAATCCCACTACTGAATCTAATTAACTAGAATTTACCATAAATGTAAATAGATTAAATTAATTATATATTAAATTATTGAATATAATTGATAATTTAATTTTGTAATAGGTATATTAATAAACCTCTTTCGCTTCCTCCACGTTCATCAATCTTTTCATACACGCTCGCTGGTTAGAGTTTTTTTTTATCATAAATAAATCTTATAGCTATGCTAATAACTTACTTTTCTATACTATGCGCAGTTTCAGCCAATTTCTCTTCTGTACTTCTTTCCAAATCCTCTTTCGACGTGCACTTCTCGCATAGACTGCGTACAAGCGCTCTGTAGCATTGCATGAAACATGGCCATCTGAAATAGAAATTTATAATTTAATTAGTTTGGAGAGAAGATTAGGGGATTTCTAGTAATGGGGTCTAACAGCCACATTGTTAATAACAAACTCTACAAGGTCTCTCTTCACGCGTCCCCCTCCCCTGGAAACCTTTAAGGTTAGTTCCTAGTAAATTTCATCACGATGGGCTAATTGACCTGATCGTTTTTATCATTTGTTCATTTCTTGGGTCAGCTTCACTTGAATGATTCAATAAATTCAAATAAAATTAATTATACATGTAGTTTTTGGTAAGGGAATATAACCTAGTCACGCGGGGCGAAAGGGATTGTTAGTCATGAGGGTTTACCAGCTACCCTATAAGGTCGACCTCCACATGGTTTCCCCTGGAAACCATCGTGGTTAATTCATGTGGGATTTATGACATCATCGACGACACTAAATATCTCTATCACGACAGGCTAAATGACCTTCTTTCATCCTCTCATCTATCACTGGTGCCCCGCCAGTGTATACCTACAGAGTATACCTATAGCGCAGGTGGGATAGCCATTCCATTATCATCCTCCAAAAAAGAACTCGGTCACACGAACGAAGTTACAGGTAAGGACTAGTAAAAAAAAATTACTCACCTATCTTCTAATAATTCCTCTCTGGAAACCAGTAAACTGTTCAAAATGGATACAGATCCTTCGAATAGTTTAAAGAATGCTTGCCAAGACACTTCACATTTTATTTTTGTGGTTTTGCAACCCATCACAAACTGTATAAGATGTTGCAACTCGAATACTGAATCTATGAATTTGTAGTCCAGTGTTATCTGAAACAAATATATTTTTTTATAGGTGGTTATAACACACAGCGCCATCTAGCGAAAGTTGTATGTGTAATACGCGCGGGTACTGTTTTTATATATATATATTAAAAATGCTTAGATCAACACAAACATGGACAGTTATTCATAAATACATATATTTGAATCAGTGTGTATGCATGCATAAACAAATTATGTATTGGATGAATCAAAGTATGTAGAATTGTTAGCAATGGAGGTTTAAAAGTTCTACTGCCTGCAATATTTTTTTTATACAATTTAGAATGGCAAACAAGCAGATGGCCCACCTGATGGAAAGTGGTAACCATCGTCTGTAGATCAGATCACCCTCCACATTCCGCCTGGAAACCATCGTGATCGGTGGAAAAGGGATTGCTAGTACACCTATCCCCCGATTTACACGGTACTTGTTTTACACGTTTTCGCTTTTACACGGTTTTCCAAATAAGTTTTTTTTTTTTTTTTTTTTTTATCGCACTCTACTAAATGCTAGTGTGTTTGAACACGTGCGCTGTGTACACATCTCACGGGGAATCCCGAGCTTATGTGCTGACTTGCTGCACATGCACACTGTGTCTGTATTTCTTCGCAAAAAATTAAAGTTTTATCTACGGAAAATTGTATTTGAGTGAAAGTTTCACAGTGTCAGAAAGATTTAATTTTTCATATTCGTAAATTACAAATGAGTGCATAATTATGACTTTTATAAATTAACATAAATAAAAAAAATAATTATAGGCTTATAATGTCGAAAGAAGTTAAAAGAAAAGTTATTACTTTAGAAACTAAAATCGAAATTTTGGATCGCTTACCAGAGGGAGACTTTGTACAAAAGTCGATTGCTTGGGTACCTCTGTCCCATTCGTGTTTCTACCGTGAAGCAGTTGTGTTTGCATGGCTGTTTCGGTTTGAAGGATGGGATATGGCGTGAATTTACAGGGTACAGAGGAATAACACCTGAGTCCTCAGGAATGGCAACGCATGGGGGGTATCATGGGCAAAGCAGTATACTCTGTTATGTCCATGGCACTGCTCATGTCTATAGGCGACAGTTACCACGTTCCATCAGGTGGACCGTCAGCTTGTTTGCCATTTTAAGTTGTATAAATATAAAAAATAAAGAAAGGGAGATAGAGTAGTAGATGTTGCAAAATCATATAACATGAACGAAGCTACAATAAGAACTATTAGAACAAATGAAAATTTTTATTTTTATTTCTGTGTACACCTAAAAATATTGAAAAAATCACAACTGTTAAATAGCAAAATTATACATTTTCTGCAAGCTTTTCGATTTACACGGTTTTGACTTGAAAATTTTAAATTTTCGATTTACACGTTTTCCTCAGGAACGTATCTACCGTGTAAATCGGGGGATAGGTGTAATTAGGTCTAACTGACCCATTGCTAGCAATACACCCAATCAGGTAAACGTCCAGGCGATTCCCCCCTGGAAACCATCGATGTTAATTCTAGTCGAATTCGTTAGGATGGGCTAACCTGCTATCACTGTCACCTATCATCCCTCGCTGGTGTCCTGCTAGCGTATACAGACAGCGCAGGTAGGGTTACCATTCCATTATCACCCATTAAAAAAACCATTCTGATTAGTTCTTGTTACATTCGTTATGATGAACCGATCTACCTGTTTTTATTCTCACAGATGCTCGGTCAACAAATACCAATAGTGCTGACGGGATTACCATTCCCTTTTCAACCAATAAAAAACGAAATTTACCTTCTTCGCTGCCAAAATAGCTTCAGAAAGTGTATCTAGGAATAACTTTAGTACTTCGCACGTAGAATTCTCCACTTTTAATATTTTAACTTCCGTGTCTTCATCTTGTACATCAATAATAAACTTTTTCTTCTTACTTTTGATATTGACACAATATTGTTCAGTTTCATAGTGTTGCCATATACACAATTTTGCTGATTTACACGCGTTGAACATTAATTTTGACATGGCAACACATTTTGGGCCAACTATGTTCGCTTTTAAACAATTCGTCCACATATATTTCGATACCTCGCCTGTCGTTAGTAGCTCATTTAATTCGGCCTCCTTAGCTTTTTGTGGAAGTTTCTGGAATAATATATGAATTAACTAATTAATTTATTATCTATACAGATATTTTTTATTTTTATTTATTTATTTAGGTTTACCAACAATTGTTTTCACAAAATAATGTAAATATATATACAATTATGGAGCTTAGAACTAAGTGTAACAATTTTTTATAGGCAAACACAGCATATATTGATACATGTATAACAATAAGTACAGAGAAATATATATATATATATATATATATATAAAAGAGATAACAACTATCTAGATTTAAAGAAAAATGTCAAATTAAAAGTGTTTCTAAAAAGTTTATTTGAATAAAGACGATTTGAATTTGATACAAGTGAATTTTGTATTAACTGGGTTTCAGGACTTTTTTGTTACTTTTACTGTACTATTTTTCTGAAAGTTAAATAGTAACTTGCTATTAAAATGTGAGATTATCGAATACTTACTAATACTATGTATAGTGTATTATTTTATTAATAATAATTATTATGATTATTACTACACTTAAAAACTACGACTCTTATTGCCTTTTCATTACAGACACTGGGTTCAATCCTATCCTCCTAGATTGGTAAACGAATCTATCGGTAGATACGATTTCGTTAGCATTTTTACACGAGAAAGAAGGGGAGATTGTTAGTAATGAGGAGGTTAGCCCCTATTGCTATCAATATAACCTATCAGGTCGACCTCCACGCGGTTCCTCCTCGAAACCATCATGACTGATTTATCGTTGAACTCGTCACAATGGACTAACTGACCTGCCTTTTCATACTCACCTATTATCTCTCCCTGGTGCCCCGCCAGTGTATACCGATAGTTTTTTTTTATACTACTTAGAATGGCAAACAAGCTGACGGCCCACCTGATGGTAAGTGGTAACCGTCGCCTATACACATGAGCAGTACCATGGACATAACAGAGTATACTGTTTCGCCCATGATACCCACCATGCGTTGCCATTCCTGAGGACTCAGGTGTTATTCCTCTGTACCCTGTAAATTCACGCCATATCCCACCCTTCAAATCGAAACACAGCCATGCAAACACAACTGCTTCACGGTTGAAACACGAATGGGACAGAGGTACCCAAGTGCAAGCGGGGTTACCATTTCATTATCATCCATTCAAATTGAAAGAAAAAAAAAACCTTTTTACTATTTTTTTAAGAACCCCATGCTGTAGCAGTCTCTTGTAAAAACTTTGATAGTTATGTACTTATGTACAATGTACTTACCTCCAAAATGGTCAATTTATTTAATTCTCCAACAAAATCATTAAGAAAGCATTCCACACTTGACACTTCGCATAAAAACTTAAGTGTAACACCAATATCTTCTATGCATCCATTATTGATATTTTTATGCTTGTTGTTTCCATAAATCATAAACAATCTAGATTTGACACTCTGCCAAATTTGTAGAAATAGTTTGTCTCTGGTTTCAAATATATAATGGGACTCGAGTTTCTTTATATATCTTAGAACAACATTTAGAAGCTGTATCGAGGATTCAACATGTTGAATCGTTGATTCTTGATTTTGAATTGTATTAATCTGTAAAATATTAAAAAAAATGATGAAATTAGTTTATATATATATATTATATATATATATATATATATATATTTATATATATATAATATATATATATATTTATATATATATAGTAGTTTATATATATATATATATATACTATATATATAAACTAGCATAAAATGGGCGGGGGCAAGGGATTGTTAGTAATGTGATCTAACTGACCCATTGCTAGTAATACACTTTATCTTGTCGACCTCACGCGGTTCCCCCCGGAAACCATCGTGGTTAATTCTAGCGGAATTCGTCACGATGGGCTAACTGACCTGCTTTCATCGTAACTTAATCATCTCTCACTAGTGCCCTGCCGGCGTATACCGATAGCGCAGGAGGGGCCCATTTTATGTTTTTTTTTTATGGGTGATAACCAATCCATTATCACCCATTAAAAAAAAAAAAAACAAAATGGGCCACCTATTTTGTTCAAGTTGGTATCGTAATAAATGACTAAAGGAACTCAATGATTGAAGGATGCTCAGCAGTGTTCCTTTTAAAACATCATTAAATTCTAACTGCGGTTGCCGGGGGGAAAGGGATTGTTAGTAATGGAGACTGAGAATCCCATTGCTAGCAATATACCCAACCAGGTCGACCTCTTCGCGGTTCTCCCTGAAACTATCATGGTTAATTCCTGATGAATTCATCATGATGGGCTAACTGGCCTGTTTTCATTCTCATCTATCACCCTTCACTGGTGCTCCGCCAGCTTATCCCGTTAACGCAGGCGGGGTTACCATATCATTATCACTCAACAAAAAAAAAACTGCAATTGCCAAGCCGCCTGCCAAATATGATGTCTACTGGCCAAACTCATCTTATAGGAGAGGCCTATGTTCAGCAGTGGACATTTGAAATCTGATATAATATTGGTTGATATAGTAATAAAATATTCCAGTGAAATTACTGTACCTTAGTCCTCAGGAATAGTAAAGCATGAGCATAGCGTAATCTGTAATGTCCATGAAGCTGTTCATGTCTGCAGGGGACTATTTCAACTTACCTTTAGGATGACAGTCAGCTTAAGACGAGTAAATTTTACCATCAGTTCTCATTAGTAAAGATTCCCACTTCTTTAAAAGTATATGTATGCTCATAATATTTAATACTTACAGCATTTTGTACAAAATATTCTAAGCCCGACCAAAGGCAATCCAGATTAATTATTTCCTTTGCATCTGTCGTCTCGCTATATTTAGACAAAGTTATAGAGTACGCAGCCATAGCATTTAGTGTTGCCATAGTGCTTTCAGAAACTGCCACACTCTCGTCAGTGTTGCCAGTGCTTGCATTAAACATGTTGGTAGTTTCATTGAAATTTATATTCTTGAACGAATCTAGAAGATATTTATGCAATTTCTCTTGGAGATCAGCTAATATAGATCTAAATGCACTGGCCGTTATAGCTTTTTTCTGTTTCACTATTAACGGTAGAATTATACAGGTCATTTGGAATGCTGGATTAGCAAAATACTCTATGCTTTTAATATTATCTGGATTATGTCTCTTCAGAATTAATTCAACAATATTTTTGACTAAATCACTCTCTGTTCTAACTCTTTTCACAGCTGATTCAATAATACTTTTTATTATTAAGAAATGGTTTGATGTTTTGATTTTAAGTGTTAACAACGCAAATACAATTTTGTCTTCAAATGAAAATATAGTTTCTATTGGAAATATTTTGTATAAATCTGGCGTTTGTGGACTTAATTCAAAAATACTTCGCAAAACATGATCGACGTTGCGTCTCAGTTTCTTCTGGCCACATTTTTTCAATACTAACATCATATAAATAGCTAACAATTGGTATTTTTCATCCAAATAGTAAATTTTAAGTTGTTTTAAAACATCAACACAGTTTATAAGTACCGTATTGTCCCCGTTATAAGTTAATGGATTGAAATATTCTGTCATATTGTGATCTTTAGCAAAATTTACTAAATTAAAGTCTAATTTCTTCAACGATTTCGCTAATAGATCAGCATTTTCTATATTATTTGCAATAATCTTACATGTTTCCACTACCATAGCATCTAGTAGTTGTTTATTATTTGCTATCGATTCGTTTGTAAATATGTCGTTTCCTGTATCATTCAAACATAATTTGACTAAATGTTTTGATAACATTTTCAATTGGTTTTTATCTAAATTAGAAGATATAACTTTAGCCAAACTTTTTTTTACAACACGATCATTTTTAGTTAATTCCTTGATTAGATGCGTTTTTGAAGATGTAATTGCTTCATTATATTTTTCATAGTCATTAAACATAGTTTGAAGCGCTATTGTTTTTGTTAGTATTAATTTATCCTGGAATCAATAAAAATGAATATTTTATTGGTGTATATCTGCTCCTATTGATCGTAGCGTGATGAAAAGTATACTATAACCTGCCCAGGAGAATGAAGAATAATTGTACCAAGTTTCGTTAAAATCCGTCGATTAGTTTTTGTTTCTATAACGAACATACAGACAGACAGACAAAAATTTGACCGATTGCAGTTTTGGCATCAGTATCGGTCACTAATCACCCCCTGATATTTATTTTGGAAATATATTTCATGTACAGAATTAACCTCTCTACAGATTTATTATAAGTATAGTTATTACAGGTTATATCACCACAGTCTTATTCTTGAGTTGTAGTATTAAATTGAGAAATTATGATATATACAGATAGACTTACCAAAAGTATAGTCTCTTGATCACCTTCTATCCTAGAGATGAGAGTAGTCCATTGTTCATTATTCAGACACGGCACCAAGACGCTCAAGTCGAAAACATCTGACGTACTGCTATCTGATAGTTTTATTTTAGTGTTGCTATATTTTAGATTCAATAATTTCAGTTGTGAGTAACTTAGGCAGAGTCTTAGGTAAGACGTCATTAGTGGCGGATTCTGGAATTAATTTGAAATGTAAAAATATTAAAGTTCTATGTCACAACGCGTAACATTTTACAAAACCCCTTTCCCAAACCCCAATTGCGTTACATAATAGTTGAAGGCCCCCTAAGTTCCGAAAGCATTCTTGTGAAATTCGTTATGATGGGCTAATTAACCTGCTTTCATCATCACCCTTCAACTCTCACTGGTGCCCCGCCAGCGTATACCTGATAGCACAGACGGGATTACCATTCTATTCTCACCTGTTATAAATTTTCGAAACCAGTTGACAGATTCTAATAAAAGTTATATTGTTGGTAACTTGATTATATATGATACTTAATAGATTCTCCCGCGAATGCTCAGGTTATGGAATGAGCTCCCTGTCGATGTTTTTCTAAGAGACTACAGTATGGGGTTCTTTAAAAAAAAGAGGTTGCCAATGCCCGCGTAATGCCCCTAGTTCATATAGGTTACCATAACCTTACTGTTAAGTATGCTTGTTTATCACAACAGTGGTATAGAAAAAATTGAGAATGGTGGTAGGGTTAGTGGTTAAACCAACGTTTGCTAGGTCAGTGTAAGTAAGAATTGTTGTATAGATTAAATGTTATGGTTAAAAACGAATCAAAATATGGTTTTATATTATTTACATACATCTATTATGCCTGTCTACTACTGAAGTAGTAAAAAATAATAGAATACCAAATGCTTCGACAAACTTTTACGTTTTAAATGTTAAAATGAAAAATACTTACATAATTTAGTTTTAGTATACATTCTCCAAATTTCTTCAAGCACTCTTCCTCAAAGTTCTGGAATGAACTCCAAAATTCTTGTGCTATATTCTCTGGCACTGTGTGATCCGCCATCTTGTTGTTTTGCAGGTAAGTTGACAAAATGGCCGCTATAACCTCAGTTAGAGTTATTATTGAGGGACCTGTAAAATTAAGGATTGACTGTTTAGACAGTAGCTAAAATTAACAGTAGCTCAAATCTTACAAATATACAAATCTGATTTATTAAGAATATTTTAAGACAAAGAAAAATACATACTGACAAAACCTTCTTCCAGCATCAATAAACAATGCACTTCAAAATCCTTTTGTAGTGATATCAATAATTCCTTACTCTGTCTAAACATTAACTCAGATGTTAATTTCCCATACATTTCTACACATTCTTGGGGAAATACATCATCACCTGAGATTATTTTACATTTAATTTTATTATAATCCTCATCATTTTGTTCACACTCTTTCAATTTTTGTTTTAATTCAAATTGAACAGTGTTGCTATCTTCTAAACAATTTTTAACATTTGGTAGAATCAGATTCAGAAATGAAACTCCTCTGCTAAGTTTAAATAAAATTTCTAATAGGCAATTCAACATTTCTATGTAATACTCTTTTACATTTGTATTATTTTTTTTCATTACCATTAATGGTGGTAAAATATCATTCATTTTTTGCTCAATTAATATAGGATCCAGTTTCATGGCAGTTTTTAATATCTGCATTGTTGTTTTATCAGGCTTCCCCTCCAATTTCAACTGTCCCATCATGACCGCTTGTAGGAAAAGTAGAGAAGTCTTCTTCGTTTCCACTTTGGATATTTTCTCGCCAAATGTATCAGTCAATCTTGTGTTTATATCAACTTCATTTTTTAAAACTATGTCAAGCATGTTCAAAAATAGATTTCTCTTAATTTTCTCATTATTTTCATCGAAATGTACAGGAGTCAGTTTTGTAACAGGTAAAAGATAATTCTGGTCCATATTTAAATAATTTGTTGCCATTATATAAAAAGCAAATACTAACTGGCTTTCTTTGCAGTAACAGCTAACAAAAACATCAATATAATCTCTTAGGAATTTGGGGTCTTTAATAGACCTTCTATTGGGGAAGGCAAAAAAAGCATCCATGATTTTCAATACAGATTGAATATTGTCACCTTTTTCAGTAATCAGTTCATCTATATTGTCTTTTCTAATCAATGTTTGCAAGTAACTGATGTAAAATGATTTTCTATTAACAGGAAACAAAATATTTTCGCATACACTAATGACATTATTACGGTTTTCTGTGTCCAAATAACTAAAAATTGTTTCTAAATTTTCACCATCTAGAAATTTGTCAATAAACTCAAGTTTTTTCTTACAATCCTTGTAATATTTTATTAAATTATTAAACACTTTCTCTTGCAGCACTTTGTTTGTTTCATTACTTCTAAAGTTTTGCAATAATGTAATAATTATATGTAAATATTCATTAATTAATGTGTTGAGCTGTGAAGAAATTTTCTTGTCTTCTAGAAATGATACAAGGCTTTGTATATCTTCTGTTTTTAAAGAATTTTTCTGTAAGTACTGTGATACAATCTGAAAATGTTATAAAAAAATTGCTGTATAAAGTTGCTGGAATAAGCTGTATCTTGCAGCTTCACCTGCATGAATTAGTGTATAAAGTATCCTATGTACTAAGTTAGTATATAACCTACCCATGTACAAAGTTTTGTTCAAATTTGTCCAGTAGTTTCTGCATGATCTTTCATTACCAAACAGTAACAAACATTCATTCATCCATTGTTACAAACTTTATAACATTAATGGGATATATAAAAATGAATTGTCAAATGTGTTGCACATTACGAAACTCGAGAATAGCTTAGCCAGTTCGGCTAATTATGTTTTTTTTAATAGTATAAAGTCAAAGGAAATATAAATGAATAGAAAATTCATAAAATTGCCTTAAAAATGTAAAATTCCCAATTTTTTCTATACATACTATTCTTTACTGCCAATACTTTTGGATAGAACAAAAAGAGAACAACAATTATGGTGTTATCTAGTAACCAATAATAAAACAATATTACTTGTATTAAATTCTTCTTAAACTCAACAGTCAGGTCATCGGCATTATTCAACCAAGCAATAATGTTTCTTAAGTCTTCACCAGAGAGACAATTTATCTTCATTAGATGTTGAAGCCACTCAGCTATCAGTCTCTCCTTTGGTGCAGTGGGGAAGTGGTGGGAGCTGATCACATTCTTGGCAAGACATAGTCTTTTCGCTAATGTGGCAGTGTCATCTTCTAACTTGCGTTTCAATACTGAAAATAGCCCAGTTAATCTTACTAATATAATAAAATTACATCTAAACTATGTTTGTACATGAGAGATATTTAAAAAAAAATATGAGGGATCTTAATAAAAGTAATTGAAAACTTGGATACAGTGTGGTGTACAAAAAAATGTTAAATGACCATAGTCAATCCTCTCGAGGCACCCTATCCAATAGGTGTTTTATGCGCCTGGGTGGTGCAGGATTATTATGACATCAAAAATTCATAATTTTTTTCTGTCTCTGACCCATAGTGCTTCATAGAGTATATTCTAAACAAAAACTATTGTACCAGATTGGATGTGTTCTTCACAGTAGTATTCCTTAAGATGAATTTTAAAAACTAATGAAATAGTCTACTATTTCAATAGTTTTCCTACTTCTGAAATTCACAAGTATGAAGTAGCGGGATAAAGGTTAGTAATATATTGAAAAACAAATTTATAATTGTACCTATGTTTATACAAATAAATTATCAATTGAAAAAGGATAAAAAATTTACAAATTAAAGGACAAAAACATTTAATTTAAATCTACTAAGTCCTTTAATAAATATTTAATAACAAACATCTTTATAACATTTCACATTTATAACATTAGTAACATAATGACATTGAATGGTATTATAGTTTATTAACGGTGAAGTAGCATGATATTTTAAATCATATTATTTTTGAGAAATCGGCTTTCGAAGTATCATTAAGGTATGTAATAAGAATAGAAACGTGAAATTTTTAGGTTATATAAATAAATTTATAGAACAAAGTTAATAAACGTACCATTTAAGGGATTTAACGACATTTTATCACAATAATCACAATTCTTTTAAGGAAAATATTTTAAAAAATTTAGAATTTATTTAAAAATTAAAAATGTAAAAAAGGTATGGTCGATTTGTTTTGACTTTTGTAAACTTGTTGATTGACTGTGACATTTGACATAGGTATGTTTAGTTACTTTTTTTTTATGATAGGTTTACGGCTTTGGATACATATATTATTACGTGAATGTTTTAGTGACTCTTTTCTGGATTTTATGTACAATATGGATGTCCAATGTGAATGCTATGCGATTCATTAACTTCTAGTATCTATCTTTAAATTAAAAAAAATTCAAATAATTATTATCACGCACCTTGCACACGTCTGCACTACACGGCAATCCGAAGAGGAAGGATGTCAATGCAGTGATATGATAAGTAAAATAACGTAATTAACAATCACTTACCCACCGGGATTACGATGTTAGGGTCTCCCCTCTTAATCACGATTTCCATACAGCGTAACGGGACAGTACATGAAACCGTGGGGGCGGGGGGGGCCGGGGGTTGTTATTGTTAGTAATGGGGTCTAATTAACCCATTACTAGCAATATACCCTATTAGATCGACCTCCACGCGGATCCCCCTGGAAACCATCATGATTAATTCTAATGGGATTCGTGCGAGGAATAGGAATGTCTAATATATATTAGACAGTGTTGGATAAGTCGATTATTAGTTAATCGATTGTATTCTCGCATTATAATCAATTTATTTATTTGCTCATCAATAGAATCGATTTCAAAGTACAGTTACCCAATTTAATTAAATTCATAAGGTAATAATCAATCGCAAATTCCCGGTACGCAATTCTAGCCATTTATCAATTCTGCGAATAAAATGTCGAATCGATATTAATCAAATAGTCTTTGATTGTTCTATAAAAAAATCGACGTTTATAAAATTATTATCGCGAACATCGATGTCATGTTTTCAAATACATGTCGTGTTAACAAGCAAAAAATATATGTTATACACGACAACTAATTATTTCGATCTAATTATTTTCGTACCAACCGATTTATGTAAAAAATATACTATAAAGGTTTTTTAACCTTTATAGAATATTTTAATATTATAACTTCAATCCTTACCGAGTTCAAATACTACAGATCGGAAATTTAGTTTAATAATGGAGCGTGATTGTCCCATAGCTAGTTCTTAATAGATGATAATGAAATGGTAACCCCGCCCGCGCCATCGGTATACACTGGCAGGGCACCAGTTAGGGATGATTGGTGAGGATGAAAGGTAGTTAGCCCATCGTGACAATTCCACTAGAATTAACCACGGTGGTTTCCAGGGGAAACCCCGTGAAGGTCGACCTGTTAGAGTATATTGCTAGCAATGGGGCAATTAAATCCTATTACTAACAATCCCTTTCCGCCTCCCATTGCTAGTAATATACTCTATCAGGTCAATCTTCACGCGGTTCCCCTGGAAACTTTCGTGATTAATTATTTAAAATTCGTCACTACGGGGAGGGGGAAGGGATTGTTAGTAATAGAGACTGAGAATCCCATTGCTAGCAATATACCCAACCAGGTCGACCTCCTCGCGGTTCTTCCTGGAAACTATCATGATTAATTCATCATGATGGGCTAATTGGCCTGTTTTCATTCTCATCTATCACCCTACACTGGTACTCCGCAAGCGTATACTGTTAGCGCAGGCGGGGTTACTATACCATTTTCACCCATCAAAAAAAATTCGTCACTACGGACTGACTGACCTGTTTCATCATCCTCTTCTATCATCCCTCACTGGTGCCCCGCTAGTGGATACTCATGCAGAGTTATTGATTTTAATAATCCCTTTTTAAATGAAATAAATTAAGTAGCTATGAATTTAGTTGGAAATTTTTAATATTAGATTTATTGCTAAACGCATTTACATATTAAATAAGCATTTATTATTATTTACACGGCGACACAAGATTTTTGTGTAGCGCCATAGAAAAAATTTATTAATAGACAGTGAATATTACAGGGTACTAGAGACACTTCTTTAAGCATCGAGTGTTATCCTTATACGTTGGACATAATTGAATCGAGTTTTAATTTTTTTACAACGCCATCTAGTTAATTTTATACGTAACATTTAGTATTTGAAAGTTGTAACTTCATATTTATTTATCAATGATTCATTTAAAATCTACAATTATATCTCTAAATATTTTTTTCCGATATTTAGCCAATGTTTATATAAATAGGTTTTTATGTTATTTTTATTTTGTTGCAGCGCCACCTATTGAATCGTAAAATAAATACAGTACTAAGTATTCTACCTGAGTAGGCTACCGATGCTTTGATTTTTGCTGTATAATGAATTTAGTTAATTTTTAAAGGAATGTCTTACTAGTAAGGGAGAGAATGCTTTTAGCATTAAGTCCGATAGGTACACATATATGTACTAATGAATAAATAAATAAATAAAATAAGGGAATATTCTTCCAGTAAAATCGTAAATTTTCAAAGAAATGACTGATGCTTATGATTTTTTTTTCAATGGATGATAATAAAATGGTAATCTCGCCAGCGCTAACGGTATACGCCGACGGGACACCAGTGAGGGTTAGCCAGGACAGTTAGCCTGTCGTGACGAATTTAACAATACATTAATCACGATAGTGTCCAGGGGGAACCGTGTGGAGGTCGACTCGATTGGGTTTATTGCTAGCAATGGGGATGCTAATCCTCATTACTAACAATCCCTACTCCCCCCATGCTTATGATTTTGATATCACACAATTCCTGCACATCTTTGAAAATGCAAATTTTTTAAATATTTAAGGCAATAAAAATATTCTTATAGCAACGACTCCTTGATTACTTTATGGATGAATATGAAATAGCTACCAATTGCAGCAGCGGGGGGTTTTTTAATATATGATAAATGATAATGGAATGGTAACCCCGTCTGTGCTCGCGGTATACACAGCACTAGTGAAGGATGATAAGTGAGGATGAAGCAGGTCAGTTACTGCACCTATTCCACCTTCTCCCACCGTGACAAATTCAACAATAAATCAATTACGATGGATTCCAGGGGAAACCGCGAGAAGGTCGACCTGATAGGGTTTATAGCTAACAATGGGGTTACTAATCCTCACTATTAACAATCCCTTCTCCCCCAGCGGGGATTTTAGGGAGTTATTGGTTTATGCTGGTGGGGTGCCAGTGTGGGATGACAGGTGATGAATTGAGGTGACCCAGTTGGGATAGTTGGCATTTATACTAAACAAACATAGGTAAAAAAAAACAAAAAAAAAACAGTGGGTGAAGATACAACATTTTTTTTTGCACAAATTTTAATTAATTTTTAGTGACGAGGGAAAGAAAGTGACGAGTAAATTATATTTCAAGCTTTTATATAGATAGAGTGTCTCCAAATAAATGCTTCGAGAAAAACGGGTCAAATTTTTCATACAATTTTGCGTGACAAATAGTTACTGTCTGACTGAGAGAGATTATTCCTTTATAACTTCTACATTTGATTTGTCTTAAAAGTTCTACACCTTTTTAAAAGGGGAAAACTCATTTTGTATATTAAATAATTAAATATAGTTATATAAAAATATACGTTAATATATAGCACATTAATAAAAAAACAATTGACAATTAGCTGATAAAAAGTTGACCCGTTTTTGAGGCTCGATGCTCTCTATCTATATAATCTAAGATTTCAAGGTATGTTCGGGATGGGCAGAGGGCTCTCCCTCCTCTGGCCTTCGGATGCTCTCAATTATGCAAGTTTGCCGCCCCTTTTTTCCACTCCGGGTAATTGCCCAGCTGGCTTTCTCCTTGATCGAATCTCGCCAATAGTTTAATTATTTTATCCATTCTGGTTTCAACCTCACTTATCATCGCTCACTGGTACCCCGCCAGCGTATACTGTTACCGCGGGTGAGGTTACCATTTCTTTTAATGATTTGAGTGGTTTAATACACCGCTTCACCATCTATCGGTCACAGGTTCTAACTCCGGACAATAAAAACATTATTATACACAAAATATGTCTGTTTGTATTAGTCTTGATGTTTTTATAGCTGTTCGAGTTATGAAGAAGTGAGGTTAGAAAAATTAACTTGATTTATTTAAATATATTATTTACAGAACGTATTTATAAAGAAAATATAAACACCTTCTGTAAACAATATATTATATAATGTAAATAAGATAGAATATTACAGAAAATAATATTAAAAAATAGAAATTAGGAGTGCGGGAGGCGAGCCATCGAGATAGAGAGGACGATAGGGAAAATGAAAGTATATATTCTTTATTGCACTTGTAAATTACAATGTTAATGCATTCATAAATATCGTGAGCAAGGGTGGACTTATCTCTGACAGAGATCTCTTCCAGTCAACCCAATGCAGTTAGAAAGCATGTTGTTAGCGGGCAGCTGAAGTGCTACAACTATTAATATTTAGTGTACATAAACAAATATACAGTTAAATAAAATATTAAGATACATAATAAAATATTACATAAATACATATACTATAAATAAATATAATACCTACCTACCTATACAGTGGATGTTAAAATCATAATAATAAGTAATGCAATTGTTTGGAGGAAATAAGTATAACAACTAACTTGTCTATTTACATATATCATGTACAGGAGGTAAATATTATATATAAAGGAATATGTAGAAAATAATATATAAAAACCGAAATTAAAAGTGTAAGAGGCGAGCGATCGAGATGTAGAGAATGACAGTAGAATTGAATGTAAGAAGTAAACGTCGCTGTCATGTCTGTACGACCAATACGAAAGATAGAAAGAGGTGAAATATTACTATGTATAATTTAATTAAAATACTTGATGGAAAAGAAAGTAATGATGTTGACAAGTGGCTATGAGATGAATTTGTACAATATTTATTTACAGACGTCACAATAAAAACAAAACGTCGCTGTCATTTCTGTGCGGCCAGTCTGTAACAAAGAGGTAAATATCTATGTACATGTACAATTTAATTAACCTACTTGATGGAAAAGGAAGTGATGATGTTTACTAGTGGCTATGAGATAAATACGTACAATATTCATTTACAGACGCCACACTTTACATGTATATATCATATGTGTGTATTTACAAAGAAGTATTTAAGTAGATAGATAGGTAGATACTCTTTATTGTTTCCACCAAAAGATTACAATAGTAAACTGATTATAAATATAAACAATTACAAGAAATAATCACAATGAGAAAACAATGGGCGGCCTTATCGCTAAAAGCGATCTCTTCCAGGCAACGTTTAGATAGATAAGAGAAATTATAAACAATTTGGTGGGAGGCACGATGAAAAATTTTGTTAGTTATAAATATGGGGATGTGATACATGTAATAATATAAATATATATACATATATAAGTATGTCTTTTACTACCTTAACACACATAACTTTGCTTAGTCTGAGGCTAAATAGTGCGTGGTATTTTCGACTATATATATATATATATATATATATATATATATATATATATATATATATATATATATATTTTTCTCATAAGAGAAAGATTTAATTATTGATGTGAATTAATGCTGTGTTACCATAGTGGTTAGGTGGGGGCGAAGGCATTGGGAAATGGGGGCTAGTAGCCCCATTGCTCTGTTATGTCCATGGTATTGCTAATATCTATAGGCGATGGTTACCACTTTCCATCAGGGGGGCCGTCAGATTGTTTGCCATTCTAAGTTGTACAAAAAAAATTATCTGACTTCATCAACTATCGCAAGGAGGGTGGCAATGGCTGGAAAGAAGCCATATAGTATATTTGAAAAAAGAAAAATAATTATTTAAACTTTTTCATACCATTCTTGTATCTGTTGGTAAAATGTTTTATAATTATAATTTTGATATAATAAATATAAAAAAAAACACTAGTGGAACTATAGAAGTGATATCATTTTGGAGTACGTCGTCTAGAGGGTTACGATTCCATTTTCATCCCATATAAAAATAGTTAATTATCTTGTTATGTGTTTTGTATTGAGTATTCTTTCCTTCGCACTGTCTAAACAAAGCATAATGCTTTGTTTTCATTGTCGCCTCTAACGACTTCAAGGGGATGTAAAGGTATTGATACATATATTAATATATACATAGTTCCTAATCCGTCTCCACATACGTAATTATTTTGTAAACATCCAAAAATAACAAATGAATGAAATAAACCGTTTCATTCATGAAAAAAGTGTGCTATTTTATATTTGAAGTTACATAGCATGTGCCACGGTCACGAAGAGCACACCGAAAAGGGGCCAAGGAGACACGCGGCGCATGCGCCAGAGAATTGATTTCCCCATATGACGTCACAACATGTCCACCATTCGAACCGTTCGTTGAGTATAAAAAGTAACAAAAATAAGACGACCATCCGATTCATAATCAAAAAGACTAGATGGTAGTAACGCATAGCCAAATATACGGTGATTTAGTAAAGGGATAGTATTTAAAACATAGATGGTATAGGAATAAATGATAGGTAGTGACAAACTCGTTTCCTAGGGTGATCACATAATGGTTTACAATATAATGCGAAAAAATTTCATCACCATACTAGACGGTGCTACGGCAACAATGGTGAAACTGCTGTGTTTATGTAAGTACTAATATATAAATATTTTTTTTATACATTTCCCATTTACATATTATAATTTAATTTAGAATAAAAAAATAAACATTTATTTTATTTACGTTAAAGAAGAAAGAAAAAAATGTTTTAAAAATAATAGCGGCTGCTTTAAAACACGTTGCAGCTTCTAAAGGCTTAACAATATTTTTTTTTTGTTTTTTTTTTTTCTTTGTGTCGATAACAAATAATGATTTGTGTTTCACAATAATAAGTTACGTTTTTTCTTTTAATTTTAATATAAAGCTCTCTAATACAGAGTATAAAAAAAAAATAAGTAAAATAAGTATCTATGTACAAAGGGGATAATATTTAAAACAATTATTATATATTTTTTTTTCAATAATACGAATTTTCCCTATTTTTTTTTTATACCATAAAGGTAGCAAACAAGCATAAAACCCGTCTGATGGTAAACGGTCATTGTAGCCTTTGTATTCCTGAGTTATATAAGTTATACTTATTTTAGGCGATTAAAACCATAGAGCAAAACTTTAGTTGCAAAAAAAAATCATCTGAATAAATTATTTGGAAGCTTTTGTTAAAATCATTGAAGTCATTCAACGAGTTACGTGTACATGAAAGTCGAACGTTATTTTGTATTGTCCTACAATCAAATGTGAATTAGTTTCGGTGAATCATTAAGTCATTAGCAACTTGGGCGTTATGTACTGCATGCGATACTGGTATTTTCTATCCATTCCATTTACCAGAGGGAGATATTGTACAATTTTATTATATTTAAAGTAGTTGTTCTGATTTTTATTAATAAATGTAGGTACACATTTTAACACAAGATGTTTAAGAAAATTAATATAATTTAAAATAAATATCTAACACGCGCGTGCCCGTGCCCTTGGTATTGCAAGTGTTCATAGGTTACAGTAACCGGTTACTATAAGGTGGGCCGTATGTTTTTTTTTGCCACCTCAGAGGGAGACTTTGTACAAAAATCGATTGCTTTGGCATCTCTGCCCTATTCGGGTTTCTAACGTGAAGCCGTTTGCATGGCTGTGTTTCGGTTTGAAGGGTGGGATATGGCAGTGAATTTATAGGGTACAGAGGAATAACACCTGAGTCCTCTGGAATGGCAACGCATGGGGAGTATCATGGGCGAAACAGTATACTCTGTTATGTCCATGGCACTGCTCATGTCTATAGGCGACGGTTACCACTTTCCATCAGGTGGACCGTCAGCTTGTTTGCCATTGTAAGTTGCATAAAAAAATCTGCAATTTTTCTACATTGAGTAGAATATAAACAATAAGTTTTTTTTTTCTTTATATTGATAACAATACAGTTCTTTTTTAAATTCTGTACATAAGTTCCTTGTACGATGTACCACAGAGTCTAAGATTATATCTTTATGATAGGCTTTACCATAAGAATAAATTCCTCAAGAAAGGGGGTTTGGAGATTCTCACGGGTGCGATATAAAGGAAGTACTTCGTTTTTAAGCGACTTCAGATGGGAGAAAGTTCTAAATTTGCCTAAAATTTCTTCCGCAATAACTTTTTAAATTCAGAACGATTTTGATTATTATTTTTACAATTGACGTAGGGTTTATTTCAGTCAGGAATGAAGTTGCTATATTTTTTGCGGAGCAAAATGTTACATTCTTTTATTTTAATTAGATTTATTATGTTTAAAGAAAATTGTGTCTCATCCGCTCATTTTATTTATATATATTTATTAAAGACACCAACAATATGCTCACAATAATTAAGTAGACAATATACAATGTTATTAGTAAGTCAAAGAGAAAAACTACTCATGATTAAAGGTATCGGATAGTTTCGAAACTAGTCGAGAGTTTTCGATAAAAATACCGGTATCTAAATCGCGAAACGTTTGAAACTTTTATGAATTAAATTTGATTAATATTATTGACCTTTATATATTAAGGATTCATATATTATTTCAGGCTTGATTTATATTTTACCAATCGTTAATTGTACACTCCTGAATATAGGTCTTCCTCTATTGGGAGGGTTTTGCCAGTAGTTGCCACGCTTGGCAAGCGGGTTGGCAATCACAGTTAGGCTTTGAAGACGTTTTAAGAGGGACGCTGTTGCCAATCCTTCGACCATTAAGTTCCCTTAGTCTCCTCTTACGATACTCACGAAAAAGGAAGCTTAAAGGAGATTCTTTTAAGGCTTATTCTATGCTGGGACCACACGGCTATTTTAATTAATAGTATATAATTAATTGATTAATAAATATTTGGATGGACTAAAGATTTGTACATCAAAGTATATACAGACACCAGAATATTTGTCTTATTTTTTTTTTATTTCATTATTATTAATATTGGTTTTGTCAAGCAGAAAATCCTGTATCGATGTGACTTTTTTTTTAATGGATGAATATGGCATGGTACGCTACGCTTGCGCTATCGGTATAAGCTGGCGGGGCACCAATCATAAATGATAGATGACGATGAAAGCAGGTCAGTTAGCCCATCGTGATGAATTCCACTAGAATTAACCACGATGGTTTCCAGGGGGAACCGCGTGGAGGTCGACCGGACAGGGTGTATTGCTAGCAATGGGTCAATTAGACCCCATTACTAACAATCCTTTTCCCACCGTATCGATGTGACTTATATAATCTACTGCGCTCGCCCTTTTTAAAGTTCGCTGTAATTCCTATCAGTGATAGGAATTTTGTGATGTTCTTAGAGGCGCTGTTTTTTTTATCTCCTAAAAAATCTAATAATGTGAAAATAAACCTACAATAGGTACGTAATTCGACTAATGACCAAGGGATAATCATTAAATATTACATACTGATTGTTGGGTAAATAGGTGACACGTAATTGGTTTTCGAGTGCTTAATGAACTTACTATGTTTGTCATTTCTGATATTTGTTACGACTTTACCCAAAAACTTTCTTCAGGGTGAGTACGCTGGTTACGTCGTAGTATCTCACCCATGAAACAATGTATTTATTATAATCTGTTTGAGGTGAAGTTAGTAATTACCAGCCCCATTGCTACCAATATAGGATATATTGGTAGCAATGGGGCTGGTATCAGGCCGACCTCCACGCGGTTCCTCCTAGAAACCGTCATGGTTATTTTTTGTGAAAGTCGTTACGATGGGCTAACTGACCTGCTTTCATTGTCACCTATCATCCCTCACTGGTGCCCCGCCAGCGTATACTGATAGCGAAGGTGGGGTTGCCATTCTATTATTCCAAAAAAAGATCTAATTAGTATGTGTGGGAAAAGGATTATTAGTAATGCGGACTACCAGTCTCATTGCCAGCAATATACCCTGTTAGATCGATCTCCACGTAGTCCCTGCTGGAAACCATCGTGCTGAATTTCAGGTGTATTTGTCATGATGGGCTAACTGACCTGCCTTTTCATCCTCACCTATCATTCCTCACTGGTACCCCGCCAGCGTATACGTATATCGATAGCGCAGGCGGGGTAACTATTCCATTATCATCCATTATAAAAAAAAACGCTCCATTGCTAGGAATATGCATACTCTATCAAATCAATCTTTTATGGTCTCTCCTAGAAACCGTTCGGCGTTCTAAATTCAAATACATATTTTTCATTTATAATCTTTTTAATATTATAAATGTAAAAAATGAGTTTGTATGTTTATTACCTTATAGCACCTTAATGGCTTAACCAATTATTATAAAATTTAGTATACACATACTATATAGGATGGAGAAGGATATAAGATATTTTTTATCTCTGTCAATGGACATATTAACCGGTCAAGCGGACCAAATTGGGAGTAACAGCTAGATAATACTGTAAATGCAAAAGTTCGTAGGGATGGGATGTTTAGATGATTTTTTGTTATTCTTTCACCCAAAAACTACTGAAAGGATTTAAGTGCAATTTGATATACGGATAGGTTACAATATTTTGTGTACTGATTTACGTGGGAAAAACCATGGGATATAGCTAGTATAAAATCAAACTGCGCGGTCGTGTGATATATACACGTATACATACATACATTGAACAGTTCAGTAAAGCTATTCCGGATTTAATAATGCCGTTTTATTACTACAATATACCAATTATATTACCCTGTCCATTTGGGTAATAGCTCCAGGATTTATAGTCGTTAGCCCATCGGGGATAGTAAACATCTAATTGGCGCATTTTTGAGCGGGCAAGGGATCGTTAGTAACAGGGACAAGAGGATCCATTTGCTAGTATTATACAATCGATTTTCACGGGGAGAAGAAAATACTGGGTTGTAGAAACTGTCGTGGTTAATTCTTGATAAATTTCTGACCTTCTGTTTGTTTTACCTATCATAACTCGCTGGTGTATACAAGTACTAATAGCGCAGGTGGGGGTTTTTTATGGGTGATAATGAAATAGTAACCCCACCCGCGCTATTGGTATACATCGGCAGGGCACCAGTGAAGGATGATAGGTGAGGATGAAGCAGGTCAGTTAGCCCATCGTGATGAATTCAACAAGAATTGTTCACGATGTTTTCCAGGCGGAACCATGTGGAAGTCGACCTGATAGAGCATATTGCTAGCAATGGGGCTATTAAACTCTATTGCTAACAATCCCTTGCCCCCCCGCGTACGTGAAGTATTACCATCATCCATTCGTTAATAAATTACTTTCAAAAGAAGGAGTTTCTTAAGTCATTCGAATGACCGTGTGATCCCGGCATAGAATAGGCCACCTCTTTTTTTCCCGTGGGTGTAGTAAGAGGTGACTAAACGAGGACGAGGGATGCGCAGCAGCGTCTCACTTAAAACATCTCTAAAGTCTAATTGAGATTGACAATCCGCCTGCCAAGCATGGTAACTACTTACAAAACCTCCTAAGGTTCAGCAGTGGACAGTTAAAAACTGGTATGATGATAAAATATATTAGGGCAGAAATTTTTTGAATTAAGAATTTAAAATAAACAAAAGAATTTGAGTTTCCCATACTATACTATTTTAAAAGTTAGGTGCTTTGTGTTAGTTT